CTTTCGAGGTGGATCTGTCAACTGAAACAAAGTACCAGTTCCATTGTATGGCTGAACTTACTAGCCGCAGAACAGCGCGGTAAAGGGTAATTTGTTGTTAGTTAGAATCCCTCGACCTAGGCATCCAGTCGCTAGCGAATATCAAGCGGTAGTCTCAAAAATAACATTGAGCTTTCATGATGTGAGGTACTTGCTAATTAGTACCCATTCTCATGGTTATTTTCAAGCTTGCTTCTTAGCGCTGCTAGAGACTCAGTCTTATTGCCTTCGAACATAAATTTTGACTTCTTCGTTAGCAGATATTTGAGATTCGAGAATTTCTATGTAATGTTGTGGCAAATATAACTTACTTCTCGACTATCAGAGATGTGCTATTTGTGGTCGACTGATTCAGCTGCTGAATTCCCTTGTGGTGGATCGACTAATTCGCTAGAGTCTGGGTTGAGCGGACTCAAAAGTTTTAACATCTGTTTGATGTTATGAGATAGACCATTGTTGAAAATCATGGTCTTCGAAAATCCCCGCTGATTTTTGAAAGTTTCGCCTGAGTGAGCGTCAATCTCACTTTTTAATCTACTTGCGAACACAAATGGCGACCGTTAGGGCGCATCGATATTTGCTTCAATTTCTCACGCGCCATATCATGGTATTGGTCGGTGTAGAAATGTTCCGTAAGTTTAGCAGTTGCGGAACGCCATAGCTCGACGGCTTTCTCAAAAGCTTCGAAGACGGTTTTAGCGGTACCTGTCAGATGCGCTGGTAGCAGCTTAGCCATCTTATCAACTCTCAAATTCAGTATGTTTCCGATTTCGTTGAACTTATTGATAAAGTTGTCTGAACCTTTTGTGTCAAGATCACCAGAGCAAGTTTGCAAACGGTTAGAATAAGATGCCAAAGAGAGTTTTCAAAGCAGTGTCTAGGCGATCAATAATCTGCGAGTCCATAGTTGTATTACTTGAATTGGAGATAGAAACGAAACGTGTGCTGTATCTGGGTACAGTGAAATTAGTTACGTTAACTCCTTTTGGAGTATTACTCATAGATCAGTAACTACTGTTGTGAATCAATTTTTTTGTTTTTGAATGGGATGAGAAGCAATAGAACTGTGAGAATATAAGGAAAAACGAAAAATTAAAGAAAATTAACTACACAAATTCAAGCTAAGAGTGTACCCCTAGCTTGTAGATGTCCGTCGGCGTTCGTTGGTTGGATATCGCGGGCAGTTAGCAGTTGATATTGTAGTCCTTGGTAATTCGTTGAAATTCCGTAGAACAGCCAAATATCTTCTCCACTCCTCGACACGATGAATGGATGCTGGTGTGACTCGTGATGTGCTTATATATGCACAATCATGCGAAATTGGCCTGTAGCCCAGACTTTCGTCGATAGGCTACAAGGTTCAAAGGCACAACCGCAGCATGTGTCCACTCCTGGCGGCAGATGTCACCCGTTGTTGAGTGATTAGCCATTAAAAATACGTGGCTGAGTAGCCTTTGGAAGTATCCGCAAGCTATTAGATAGCCCGTAGGCTTTCCTCAGGCAATCATAGTAAACATTTATGAAACTCTCGGTAGGTAAAAATTGGACTCATAATTGTCTTTCTACTACTGAAAACCTTTTTGAATTTTGTGAGGCACACAGTGGTATTTGCACTAGTGAGAAATTGAAGAAAATGGGCTCAAGGTGGTCTTTCCACTAAAGAGGGGAAAAAAATACATTCACAGTGATCTTTCCACTAGTGAAGTCATAAAAAAAAGAGCATTCTCATATAGGCTGTACCAACCCGCATCGGTTATGCGACGTCGCGCCTGCGGCAACTTGCGACGGTGCGGTTTGACGCGTGCGGACACTGCTACGCGTTAAAGCACGTCGCATGCGACCGTGCGTCCTCGCAAGGCATGCCGACGCGAGACCGATGCTGGTTGATACAGCCTATAGTGGTCTTTCTATTAGTGAGAGTTAGGAATCAAAAATAGGCTCACAGTGATCTTCCCGCTGGTGCAACCTTATATTTACATATTTACAGTGCCGGCTGTGACGATAGAGTCACTGAGTTCTTATATGAGAGCATTATTTGAAAATTTCAGGGTTCCCAGTGAAAGAAAAATGGAAATAAAGACGAAGAAAGGCAAAAGAAAGCATTTAAAAATAGTTACGGCTCGCGGAATCACGGCTCGCGGAAAGTCAATCTAGAGATTTCGCGTCGAAAAAATCACGATTCGCTGCTTCACGGCTCGGGGAATCACGGCTCGCGGGATAAGGTAAGGAAAAATCGGTAAAATATTATTAGGTAGATGAGAAATAGAAAATCATGTGTTTACTAAGATTAGCAAGTTAATACAAAACTCAATTCATTGCTTGACTCAAAAAGAATAACTGAAGAAAACAAATAAGAGGAAAAAAACTACGTAGGAACGTAGGAGACGAGGGTTGGTGCCGGCGGTGGGAATTTGCAAAAGTTTTGACTAAAATCTTTGCTTCAGATTTATTTTCTAGTAAGAAAAGCTTGCAAAGAAATTGTACAAAAAAGCCCGGGACCTCCATGTCAAGTACACGAGTTAATTACTCTCGTAACTTGATCCCTCTACCCTTGTTTTTCTGCTTCTTGACAGAACAATTCCTGACTAGAATTATATATCTTTCTATCATATATGCATAAAATCGGAGACATTAATGGGGAGGGGGCACCGAGCACGGAGACACCTCATCTGTAGTTACTGGGCACCGCCCAGTTGGCGTGGGGACTGCCGGACCATCTAATTAATCTGCGTCTCGACACGTGTAAAAGCAAGAAAACACAATTGGAAGGGAAAAGGAGGCAGGAGTACATAAGCCACTAGAGCATATAAGTATGGTTACACGAAAATGTCGAATAATCAAATAACTTCCGAAATCAAATATTCGAATGTTAGAATATATTCGAAAAACAAAATTTTCGAATAATCGAGTAATCGAATAACTTCGAAAATGACAATTTTCAAACAAGCGAATATCGAATATATTCCGATTTTGAATTTTTCGAATAGTCGAATTTCAAGAAATTTTATTCGAATACTTATTCGAATACTCGAATATTCGATTCGGTCCAAAGTATAATACGTACTCTCCCCGGAACTCGTCAGTAAGGAAGGAGAGCATAAAAAAAGCAAATAAAAGTGAAAATATTGTTACAACTCATCTCAAAGATTGAAATGTAATGAAACATGAAAATATATAATAAAACACACTTGAAATGAAGGTTAACAAGAGCTCGCAAAAGAAAAACCCACAGAAGACTTGAAATCCGAGCTCACAGGGATGGTGAAGCTTTTTCTGACTTCTCCGCTTACATGGCGCCCACTCAGATAATCGCCGGGGGCAGGCGGTCCGCAAACTCGCGCTTTTCTGCAGGCGGTCAGCAGAATTTTGGGGCGTGGCCAAACCTTCAGCGAGCGGTACTTCCTTTGCTGTTGCATGTTCTGCCAGCGGGCAGCAACACAGGATTTCCGCAGGCGCTCGTCAAATAATCCTTTTCGGCGAGCGCTGGTCAAATTTTCAGCTGGCGCTCGGACGGTTTATAAGCGGTTTCGGGCGTACGCCGAACAAAGGTGAGACTCTGTAGCAGAGGTGTCATCGATGGTTTAATTACTCAAGTTTGAGGTACTTTCTCCCAGCGGAAAGTACCTGGGGGCTGCGCGGTCCTCCACAAAGGACCGTGCGGCCCCCAAAAATTTTGCGCATTCTCGCGGAAAGTCCGCGAGAATGCGGCCACTGCGCCGCAGCTAATCTATAAGAAAACCGCGGTTATTCTTCGAGCATCCGTCTAAAATTTCGCTAAAATTCTTCCAAATATCTGCAAGCGGACCGCAAGAAATCAACGAACTATTTTTCCGGTGCCCGCCCGCCCATAAATCGCTCGGCCGCTTGCCCCCGGCGATTGTCTGAGTAGGCCCACCCCCCGAGAAAGGGTCGCGAATTTTTTGAAAGTTACTTACATGGGTTATAAAATTGTGCAAATGACTGTCTGCACTTGTAAATAATCAAAATAATTTTCAAATTTTTGTAGAAAATTTATTTTAGCCTTATAGAAAAAGATTTTTCGGGGCGTGGCGTCAGTTACGCCCCCTTTTTCTGAAATTTCGGTTCTGAGCCCGCAAAAAATTTAGGGAGCATACCAAAAAAATTTTCGGAGTGCGTGGCTGACGCCATACGCCTTTATCGGAGAAAATTTTTGTCGCCTCTCCCCCCCCCCCCCCCGAGCCGAAATCCTGGGTACGCCGCTGTATAGGCCGCTACTGGACCTGATGCACTCAAAGGCAGTGCTTCGACAAATCCTCGACCAGAAGTTTTTTCGCTTAACTGAGGTAATTCGATGCGCTGATTTTGAAAATACATTTCGAAGAGCACGAAAATGTCGAAAACCAGCATTTTCCAAGGGTTCTCATTTTGAATTTGGACGTATGAACCGCTCCCTGCCATGGTTAGAGACGTAGAGTCGTTGCGGGACCCTCATCTTTATAACAATGCCGCCTCTGACGGCGGAAGGGGGACCTCGTCCGAGTGCGTGTAAGAATGGCTTGCGCGCACGGACTTAGGTGCAGTTTTCTAGGCGACAGCATCTAGTGCGCTCGGACCCGCTCTTCTATGATGTTTGGGATGCAAGCAACCTTCCATATCAAAATTTATGTTTGTGCCAGCCGCTGCCTTTAACGCTGGCATTTAGGCGCCGCGGCTCAGCACCGAAGCCCAGCGGGGCAACCGGGCCGCTGCAACAATTGTCTGAGGATGTATTTTTATTAGAATAAGGGAGCAACAAAAATTTGAGTGAGCGAAAGCTTTTCGCGCTCATAAACCACTTTTCTGCAAGTGCACAATCCGCAACAAATGATCGTGTGGCACTAATTCTTTCTTTACTGGCATTGCTTTGCGGTTTTTGATTTTACGGCTGAAATTCTCGGCTTTTCGTGTGAACTTCATTACTTTTCTCAATGTGTAATCGCCTAATTTCAAGCATTATTTCTAGAAATGGATGAAATCGAGGAAGAACCAGATGGTTTGTGCATTAGTGGAATAGAATCGTTCAAGGACTTCGATATAGATACCGCAGAAGGTTTGTTCTTCTGATTTTTGCATTCAGGCACTGCGAAATTGCAGAGTTTAGAAAGCGATGGCAGTTATCCTGCAATAAATGAAATTTCGCTTCCTTTGCCGACACAGACAAAGTGCAACGATGACAATGATGTCGAGCCAGTTGTACGTGAAGAATCTGCTTTCATCACACTTCCAAAGTATATAGTTCGTGAGGTAAGTTCAGCCTCATACGAGATCAGTAAATTCTCTTTTGGCCTTTGTGCACCTTTTTGACTTATCTACATACCTTGTAGTTTCGTTGTCTTCCTTACTTCTTTGGAACTCGATTTTTGAAATGTAAACTCCAACTGTATTTCCAGAAACATGTTGGGGACAGTAGCGATTTCTTTGACGCTTCTCCATCACAAATCAAGGACTTCCTATTGGCGCAAGTGCTAGGCATACGGTTAGTACAACGTTTTGTCATTGTTTTTTTTTCACTGCATCTTTCAGAGCTTTCGTCTTTGTTTTGCAACTGCTTTTCAATTCATGGGATTTCTCAACCGATGCATTTAAGGGCATTTCTGCTGAAGAAGGTGTGTTCCATGTTTACTTTTTGGCTTATTTTCATTTTCTACTGGCATGTAATCTTTGTTAGTGGGCATATGAAGGCTAACGCTGCTTTAGACCTGGGGCAGACTTCAAGCGATTTGATCGTCGCGATTCAATCGCGACAAGACAACTGTTACGGGTTCATTGCATGCCGAACTTGCATTTCGGTTGTGATACTTTTCCAGCCCGAAATTTTTAAATGTAAAGTGAAAATGAATGGAAATCGCGGCGGTTGAATCGCGACGACCAAATCGCGTGCTCTGTTCGAGGCCTTTACATTCTTTTGTCACTAAAGAGCAAATTAGGTTTTTATATACTTTTTTATCTAATCAGTGTGGCATCGGAAAGTCTGTTACATACTAAGCAGCCAAGGTCACATAGTGGAAGTGGTTGTTCATCAAATGATGCGTATCGTTACGCAAGTTTGTGACGGATTCCAAATCTATCTGCCTTATCCGTAGAGCACTTCTGAAAAATAAGCTGTGAGCTCTATTGGATCCGAAAGATAGAGCACGAGTGGCTGAGAATCAGGTTACAATTTTTTGGTGTCATATGAAGCAGGTAAATTTTGGGTGTATTGTGTAAGGAGCACTGCGCCTAGCGTAGAAAAAATTCAATCAATTAATATTATTTTAGCCGCGCGTTCATCCTTTGCTTGGAAATGCGATCGTATTATCTTTCCTTGAGGTTCTGCAAAAAAGAACGGATTAGTTGAGGGCTTATCGAACCTTTTTATCGAAATCATCTTCTACCAAGCAGTTTTCACTTTACCCTTCAATCATTCAGATGAGCTTTCTTGGCTGGATCATCTAATACATCGTATCTTCGCTGGGTTCAAACGATGGGACGCTGTGCATATGCTGCATATTGCACAGCACGAATATGTATTCGAAAACAGCCTAGCATTCTTTCCATTTTATCCTATGACGATTAGGTGAGTAGTTTGAAATAGGTTCAAAACTTAATGTTGTTTTTATATGTTTTCTCACCTAGTCCCTTACTTTGATCCTTACGCACCGCCACTTCGCTCAGCGCCCGATATTGTTTGAAATTTTCCGATCTTTCTTCATACTACTTTATTTTCTCAGAAAAATTACGCGCTATCGTTTTGGAGCTTTCAAGTTAGCGAAGAACGTGTGTAAGGGGACATGAGAGAAATGTGAAGAGAGACTGAGGAAACTCGAGCGCTTTCGGCGCTTTTTGAACGAGGTCTTGCCGGTGCCCCATCGCCAATCATAATTTTTGTTTTGGTTTTCACTGTAAGAGATTTCCTTCTGCTATTATAATGGTAAGCAAAATCGTTTTGCTTATGCCTCACACGTCGAAGTATTTGGAAACATTTTAATACACTTGATAAACTCTTCTGTGCTAGCTCTTGAAGAATGTAGGTATCTTAACAAATTTGGAATCTTTTGCAAATCCGAATATTTCTTACCGCAGAAGAGAATCGTGTGCCGAGTTCACAAAAGTAGAAGAAAGTCGCAGTATTGAGTTCTCTGCTTAAGGTTGCTATCTATGGCTTGGGCAACTCCGTTTGTTCATTTTGGTATTCTTCACGTATCGTCGGCATTGCTAATATCCGCAGTGGCGATAAACTTGGTAAGGTACTTGATTTTTACACGCAACTTTAATCTCGAAGGTCTGTGTCGACATTTAGATCTGTTTTATCGCAGCAGCTGCAGTACTTTACCACATAGTGCGTCTAGTATCACACTCTATGAAACAAGCCGTTATAGCAGTGCTTTTATTTTCTGCAAATCCGGCATCTATCTTTTTTTCAGCTGCTTACACGGAGTCGGTAAGTTTTGAGTACTTGCTAGTTGTCTGCTGTTTCAGAGAAAGAGATCTTCTTGCAGATTTTTATACTTCCGTACTTGACGTGTTCTTTATAGCTTTACTGTCTACTTACCTTTACTGGAATTTGGTTGCTTTTGGAAGAAGACCATCCATTCTTCATACGCTATCTTGGCTCTTTACTTTGCTTCAGTCTCGCCTATGCTACTAGGTAATCGTTTTTCGTTTGCGTTATCAAATGTTCTGGCAGCTTAACTCTTTTTTTCATCGTATTCGATCTATCTGTTCATTTACTCTGTTACTCTCTTTACTCCGTCGAATTTTCATCTTGTTTTTGTCACTGTTGTGGTTAATGCCTGGACTTTTCGAGAACTGTGAAGTTTGCTATACACGAAAAGACGCACCGTGCGTTGCCTTACTTCTCATTAGGCTTGAAGAAAAGGATGCCGCTGTTTTCCATGACTCATAGCTTACTATGCCACAGTGTGCCTTATCTGCCTTTGTTGTGATCATTTTTGGAAGCGTATTTTTGCCCATACACATTTTACATAATTCTGTTGCAGACTATGATTTTTTTCAGATCTAATGGTTTAATCAATCTGGGTTATGTGGGCTTTTTCTGCTTGCGTGAGTTCGCATTTTCATCTGATGCAGAGAATCCACACCAGTTACGCGTAATTCTCAAAAAACCATTGCCTATCATCATCACTAGGGTGAGCGTCAGTAAAGTCAAACTTAAAGTTCTTATTTTATGAGCCATACCTATTTTAGGCTTCAATATTCGCTTCTCGTATTATTCTAGCATTGCTTTCAATCTCATTGCCAATCTACATCCATGGACGTCGCCAGCAACTCGCTTTTTGCTCACAGTGTAGGTGAAGCAATCTGCTTATCGTCATATGCTCATACTTTCAACACAAAATGCAAAGCATGAGATCATTTCGTTTTTTTAGCATCCGCTACCAGCATTCCAGTCACTTTGCAAAAATTTGCGCTTGATCATCGTTTGGTGACCGTTGGAAAAACGGATGCAATTGATTGGTGCAAGTCAGTCATCTTTGGTCGTATAGTTTTGCTGTGTCGTATTTTTGTCATTTAGTGTGTCATCCTCAATATTCCCGCCATTCTATGCATCAATTCAATCGAAGTATTGGCAAGTCTCCTTATTTGGTTACTGGCAGTTGCGTAAGATCCCATGTTTTCTGATGGCAGCACCAGCATTCTATTTGGTTGCGTTTGGCGTGAAGCAAACATGGCAGAGAGCATTGTCGAAGAAGTATGGTTTTATTATTCTATACTTTTGGAATTTTAAATGTGTGTTTTCAGAAGTCTCTTACATCTTCTAGCTGATAAAGGCGACCTCGTACCGTACACTCTTCATGCAATGTTCATGGCCTTTGGAGCACTGTTTGTGTATAATGCAGAGGTTTGTCTTCAATAGTTGAAAGATACAAAACAATCACTTCTAGGTTCTTACAAGAATGCTTTTCTCTAGTTCGCCTTTTTCTTACTTGGTGCTTGCGCAATGGATTTCGGACATAACACCACAGGTCAGTGTTTTGCTTTTTATTTTGCTTTGCTTTGTTTCACTGGCACCTTACCGATTTTATCTTTCCTCCTTCGCTTATTTCTAGTCGGAGAATGGCGGCAACTGATTCTATCTAAACCTCTTGTTTTTTGTTGGAAAATATAACCATCAAAGGCAGTAGATAGCCAAAATGGACCCATGTCGGATTTTGGTAGTGCCAGGTAGTACCCCCCCCCCCCTCCAGGTACATCGTAGCTCTAAGCCCACCCTCCAATTCATGCGCTACCCTGCAAGGAAGCTCTGAAACTCCACTACCCTTGTCCACTTCCATTGAGTAGGCGTCATCGGTGGAATTTTGAAGCACCTTTTCAGAACTTGGCTCATGAGTTGGAGGGTGGGGTTGGGGCTACGATATAATACCTGGGGGCTTCCTGACAGTAACGAAATCCGAAAAGGTCCATTTTGCCAATCCACTTTCTTAAAAGTTGTCAAACATATCTGTGGCACTCACTCTATTATTTCTAGGTTCGCCTATCTGATCTGTTTGTTCCACAACCATTTCCATTCTTTACGTACTTCTGCCGAAGAGGATTGCCAGAGTTTCTGCTCTATTTGTATCTCATGGTGTATCTAGTATTCGGCACGACAATGCACGCTATGTGGTTACCATTCACATGATTCTCTTAGTCCCGGTGATACACTGAAACGGTGTTCAAATGATCTCCTTTCTCAGTGCGAGTATTACTCTGCCCACTTATGCTAGCTAGTCATTCATGTCGATTTAGTGCCAATGAGTGAATGATCTCAAAGTAATAGGTTGTGATTTGGTGCTGAACGAATGAACATGTGCAATGATGTTTTTGTTCCAAAAAATACTCGTTTGACAGCCTCAAAAAATTCACGTTGTTTTTCTCTTCTATAAAAAGCGAATGAGTGAACCTGCTTAGCTTGAGGGTAAACTCGTTGTCACTAAGATATGTCTGTTTATTACAATTATAGTAAGGATTTTGAAAGTGGGGCAGGCAGATGTGGTATTTGGACTTCCAATAGCAGCTCATATTGTTCTCTTCTAGATAGAGTGCATAGAAATCTCATAACACTTATAATGTCATACTATTTCCGAGCAAACCAGCTTCCTCGAGCACGGTGGCTAGAATTTGGTGCTGGTTTTGGTCGCGATCGAACTGTATGTTTGCCTTGGAACATGACATACTTTACGTCACCATTCAGTTCCCGCATAGGTTTCGAGCGGGGTCAGCACAGAAGTCTTGAAAGCACGCTGGAACTATTTTTAAGGCTATAATCAAAGGGGATATTGTGAAAAATGTACTGCTACAGCGTTTGCTATGAGTACAAGCTTAGGCCCTGGCCAGACTTCGCTCGAAAGCGCCCAAAAGCGCTCGAAAGCGCGCAAAAGCGCCCAAATTTCTCTGGTGTCTCTTCATTTTCTCGTGTGAGGAGAGATTAGAGAAGTTTGAGCGCTTTTGGGCGCTTTTGAGCGAAGTCTGGCCAGGGTAGGCGATTGATATGCCCGAACGTGTTCTCTCACAAGCGCGCGCAACTTTAATGCAACTCCAAAGGGTCGGGCATACCCCTCGCGATGAATGGTCGCGATCTGCTGGGAACTAGAGACGAGAACGCGCGACTGATCGCCAATCGCTCGGATATGGGGCGTACTTTTTGAGCGATTTGTGCATTTTCACACTACATCACGTACATGTTCACTCAACCTACATTCCTGAATTTGCCTATAGTAGGATAAGCACATGCATAGTCAGTCTTTGTCAAAACGGTGCGTCGCCGTCGCCAGCGATCTAGTGTTGTGCACGCAAGGTTCTGCTCAGGAAGCTCCGACGCTTATCCTCTCCATAGATCGTAGATGGCTTCTGTGCAAAAGAACTGAAAGTTCGGTTACCTAAGACTGGACTCCCTGGTGTTGCTGGTCTTCTCCGAGCTTGTGCTTACAGGGGAAGGATACTTGGATGCCGTAGCCATTCATAATGATTTGTATACCAAAAAATGCGCTTTTGAATGCTGGTTCGTAGACTGTCTTTCATATCTGCGAAACGATAATCTGAATGGAGTTATGATTTTTTTTTTCATTAAAAAAATTGCGTTCCTGCGGAGGGTCAAAATCATCAATAAAAAATTTTTCTCTCCTTTCCAAATGCTGAGTGTGATCCAGATAGTCTAAATAAATGTTACTAGTCTAAAATTTTCTTCAATAGCATCATACGGTAGGCTAGGTCAAATCTGGTGATTTTTACTATCCAAAAGTAGGCTAAATTTTCAAGGAAAAAATTCATAACTTTCTTCAAAAGAAAGTTTCGCAGATTTCGAGCACAGATTCAGAATCTGCATTCGAAAGCGCATTTTTTGGTATACAAATCATTAGGAATGGCCGCGGCATCCAACTATCCTTCCCTTGTTAGGGAACTGCCATAGGTTCGCAATGTTCGCGGTGTTCGTGTGTCGGTGTTGTCGGTGTTGTCAGGATCGGCCATACTATTCCAGATGATACTTTTTATACTATTTTGGTACTATTACTATACTATGCCATGCTATTCCGCCGCGAACACCACGAACACCACGTATACCGCGAACATTGCGAACCTATGGTCGTTCCTTTAAAGGTAGTGTCCAGGCAAATCTGGGCATATGTGTTTTTTTGCCTGGAAACTGTCGAGGAGGCTCTAGCTAACGCACTGCCCAAACCGCAGCGCAAATAGTTCATTCATGGATGAGAAATTCATCCACAAACACTCGGCTGCTGCGCCGTGACCGTAATACTTACGATGGGTTCCAGCCTAGTGTTAAAGTGAGCGGTCGTTTTTGAGTTGCGCTCACGGCGGAGGCGAGGGGTTTTCGGGGACAGATTTCTCAGCCGTGAAATTTGCTGCCCCTTGGGCAGGCCCTAGTTAGGACCCTCTCATCAATTTCCATGCGGAAGAGGCATGCGACCAGATTTGCCTGGACAAGGCCTTTAACTTGTTACAAATGTTTTTCGAAAACGTCAGCTTCTGCGAAACATAGCAGTTTGTTCTCTGGGGACAAATCTTACAAACTTCAGGGCTAGAAGAAATACGATGGATTTCCAGTCGTATGCAGATAATACTAACAAGGGAAGTTCGCCGAATCGAAATGGCCGTTTGATACGTGGTATATACCCGGACGCGGGGCTCGGAAGGTTAATATCAAATGTGCGCCCATTAACTGCGACGCGTTATTGTGAAGCAAGTTATGGCCCTCTGAAGTTTTTGGCGTGTGCTTGTCTAGAAAACGCACAAATGATTCGACTGTGGTCGTGTGGTGTAGTGGTTACCGATTCGGACTCACAGGAGACCGGTGAGGGTTCGAATCCTGTTGCTGTCCACATGCTTTGCGTTCTTCTCAAAAATCGCTTTTTACCTGTTTTATGTATTACTGAGGTAAAAAATGACACATACGGGTTACGGAATAATTTTTCTCACGAAGCAACGACTTTTTAGCGATGGCTTTTCAATTGACTTGAAGATTTGCCAAATCCTGCTCCCACATACTTTCTTCGATTGCACGTAGTATTTACGTGACAATCTCCAAGTTGTACCACGTCGTACTATTGATTCTTGCTAATGGGCTACCTTGTGAGAATGACACGGCAGGATGTATAATTAGTAGAGTTTAACCACCCGTATGTTCATTTTTTACGTCAGTAACGCATAAAACAGGTAAAAAATGAATTTTGAGAAGAACGCAAAACATGTTGACAGCAACAGGATTCGAACCCTCACCGGTCACCTCTGAGTCCGAGACGCTAACCGCTACACCACACGACCACAATGGGGTCATTTATGCGTTCTCTAAACAAGCACACGCCAAAAATTTCAGAGGGCCATAACTTGCTTCACAATAACGCGTCGCAGCTAATGGGCGCACATTTGGTACTAACCTCCCGAGCCCCGCGTCCGGGTGTATACCACGTATCAATCGGTCATTTCGATTCGGCGAACTTCCCTTGTAAGCTAAGTCGCGCTGCTAGATAGCAGTTCCTTTCATCTGAATATATAGTTTTCGCGCGCAAAGACAGCGTTAGCTTCCTTCAACTTCATACAGTCTGCCCCAATCCCAACCAGGCCAAAATTGGCATAGCGGGAGTCCGCATCGCTAGGGTTTCGCGATCACGCCCACGTCCTGCATCTCTGCTCTCTCTTCAGTCCTTTTGCTCTCTCCGACCGCAGGCATATGCAGCACAGACCGAGCGCTGCGAGCGCGCAAATCTACGCCGACGGTTCGGCCTGGTCCCAGTTGGAGCAGACTGTAGTTGTTGCAGACTGATTACGCAGATAGAAGGAACTTTTTCTTGAAAGCCTTTCATGTTCTTAGAACATCTCTTTATCTTTATGCGTAAAATTCAAAGTAAAGCACTATTTTATCTCAGAAGGGTCCTAGAGCTTCAGCAATAGATTACAATGCGAAGGTCAGGGTTATTACTGAATGAAGTTGGAGCTACTGTAAAATCTAAATAGAAATGCAGCATTTCTTGGACTTGCAGATTCTTCTGCATCAGACCTACTCGTAATGGCACTCTGGAGCACATTGCAGCACTCTCACTACCTTCCAAAGTTGACAATGTTTTATGGATCGGCAGCATGAAGCCACTCAATCGGCCGCGACATAGTAGAATTATGGACAACAACAAGAGCAAATTCAAACAAAAAAGTAAATTCATTGCACTAGGAACAATACCCGTATGAACAAAAGCATTAAAGTCATACGCATATCAGAGTCATATTTGAGATCGGAAACTAATGGCAAAATTTGATGGAATAACTGTCAGTATACAGATAGCTAGAGTTGTTTGCTCCTCACACGAAATAGATTGGTCGCTATCTGGGTGGTTAAAATCTGAGCGTTCCAAAATTGAGGAAAAAAGAAATTAAGTATCCAGTAGCGGCCAAAAATAAGACGAAATCTTTCTCCGATATTGGCGCTAAAATTGTAATTTTCTCAAAGTCATAGGAAAGAGGAGTAATATTTACCCATCACCATCGAACGCGTCGCGTATACTGCTGTGATACTCGTACATGGTATAACCACAACAAGTGTAATAAATCTGAAAGTAAAGATGAAGACTATCCTGACAAACAGCAGAAGCTAGCCTCGAGTCCAAAATATCCCCAAGCAGTTACGAGGCTCGCAAGAGTGAAGGCGAATAAAGTGCATATAGAAACGTGCAAAAACGTGCTGTACCCGGCAAACCATCGAACAACAGCTATCGGTCCAATACAGTACAAAAATCCAAGAGGAAAGCTAGAAACGGGTAATGATAGATTGTATCAATCTTGCTACATTCAACGCCAAAAGGACGGTAACGCGCACCCAGCCGAAGAGGTTTCGTACAGGTAAATAGCGATGTATCGTGCTCCAAGTAATAAACCCACACCAACCCAGAATAAAAACATGATGAAATAACGCTAGAACGAGTAAATAGTAAAATGATGGTTTAACTGAATGAAACTCAAGTGAGCCTAACCAACATACCTGATTTCCTAGTCCAACGCATGCACCAGTTATGAAACAATGGTGGTCTTTTCGCAAAACACATATATTGCAGATCGGACAGTGATGACTTCTAAAAGACGGGATATATCGTCTTTCGATGATCAGATACCTTGTAGTAGATGAGAATTGATTCTGATGGAAATCAAACTCTACCTGATCGGTGCTTCGCGACTGCATACATTGCAGAACTTTGAAAGATAGGTTGGATCGTACTCGCCTTCTTCTTCTGCTACCAATTCATCTGACTATGGAACAATATCTAACAATAAGTAGATGCCAAAACAAAACATGGTCGTACTGTTGGAACACTTCTGATTAATTCAGCCACGCAAGACTGCCGCTGCCAGTGAGTGACACAATTATGCCTATAATAAAAACGTTACAAGTAGCGCAGGATGTTCCAGCAACTGATATGGTCTCTTCCAAGAAAGCTTTTGATTTTATTTGTTTCTGTGTTAATTTGCAGTAGAATCGAGGTTCAACACCAACATCCCGCATTCAAATGTAGCAGAATCAATGGCCAAATTTTGTAATCAATAAGCGTTATAAAAAAAACAAGCAATAAACAGAGAAACCCACCACCTTTTGGCAAAATGTGGCTCAAGTAATAAGTTGACTTGAAAAAATTAGTTACGAGGTACTAGCCGGCTTACCCGGCCCTGTCAAAACACTATGATAAAGCTCTCATCCGCATCCCTGTACTTCTCTAGTGCCCACGTCTACACGCCGATTTCCTATCCCCGCTGTTAAAACAGCATGCTGAATTACCTTTTGGTGCCAACTCCCAGCCGCGTATCTCAAACTTCGCAAAAAAATCGACAAAATCGATAGAAGTAGCGGATAGTACTAAAAATTAAAATTCTATCGTAATCATTATGCTCGATTATTCCCCTGTGCCAACTCTTAGCCCCGTAAATCAAACTTTACAAAAAATCGATGAAACCGATATCGATTGATGACATAAAGCCCACGACACCCGCCGCCCCCCCCCCCCAATGTGTGCCAACTTTGGTCCGGATCGATTCAGAAATAAAATTTTCTATTCGGAACATACGTACAGACATACATATGTACATACAAACAGACAGACATTCAACTTTATATATAAGATGTGTAGAAAAAGCAGACCCTGCATTTTTCTTTTTGAGAAACTATCGAACATCTTGCGCGCTGTAGTGAAGGGAGCTCGATTGCCCTCTACATCAACAAAACACGTACAGAAGTTGGAAGGTGAGGCCTATCTAAGACTATATCATTATACTTGATCATCGATAAAGAAAAAGCATAATTCTAAGCATCCATGATTCATAAAACACTAATGGAACTCACCGAGAATAATAATGAAATAAGATGACATTGACGAGAATCTCCCCTATAATTAGGTATCCTATTTTGGAGACCATATGACAGTCCTCAGAATATCTGAAGCTGGTACATGAAGCAAAGGCAACATGATAAATAGCCATTATCATAAAAACCTATAAATAACTTGTAGTTATTATATTACCAAACCTTGCTTTCTATGCGGTCAAAAGAAGTAGTCTCGAACGACTTCTCGACACTCACCAAGAAAAGGCATCCTCCATAGTTTACGAAAAAGTCTCCTGTTCTAGCTAGTCTACGATTTAAACTTATGAGATATCCACATGACATAGTCACCTATAAAGACCTAGATAATCAAAATCACCGAAAAGGCGCATTGTTTGCCAAAGACACTGGACTATGACGAAATCTGCCCGGATAAACGCGGATAAACACCATGCCCACAGACGTATCGTCCCTTCGACAACTGCTGCTACCCTTGGTCTCGTCTCACAAGGGAAGGATACTTCATGACCGTGGCCTTCTGCAATGAGATGTATATTAATAGATGCGCCTTGAAACGCTGGTTCTAAATCTATGTTCATTATCTGCTGTGCGGCTCTCTGAACGAAATTGTGAATTTTTTTCCATTTTGATTCTACGAGATTTAGGCAATCAGAATCGTTATTATCCAAACTTTCTAAGCTCTGATTCATTGGAGACACTTTTTCTGAACTCAATGTAAATTTTAATTTCATCTGGACGTTCTTTTGTAGCGCGTAAGTGGCCATGCCAACGATATTGGTGAATTCTGCATCAAAAACAATGCAAATTCCGGTTGTAAGAAATGTTCATAACTTCTTTTGGAAGAGCATAGCAGATAACGAAAGTAGATTTGTAATTAGCGCTTCAAGATATATTTAATGGTATATGATTCATCTCAAAAGGCCACGGTCACCAAGTATCCTTTCCTTGCCAGACCTGCCTCGTGTGGCTAACATATTCGCAACGTTGGCGACATGTTTGCAACATGCAACAACATGTTGGCAGAACATTTTGGCTATTAGCCTCAATGCCAACATGTAGCATGTTGCAAACATGTGTTGCTGACGTTGAAAATGCTAGCCACATGTGGCAGGTCTGACAATGAGATGCAGACCAAGGGTAGCGGCAATTGCGGAAGGAACGATTTAGCCAAACTTACAGAGACCAAAAAATAATGTGCTCCAAACAAGATTCGCATTAGAGCACCAATCTTGTTCAGCGCACTTTATTTCTGGGTCACTTTCTCCTATGTAGCTGTGGCTGCCACACTTTTTTGAGGTTGTTGCCACACCCATTAACCATGTCAAGAAACATTTTTTAGCGAATGGTATATATACAGGGTGTCCCAAAAAAATGTATCGAACGTTTGATCGTTAATATCTCTCTTCCCATGAAGTCTTTTGCCTTGCTTCAGGTACCGCTTTGTAGAGCTGGCAAACTTAGATTTGCATTGTAGAACGAATCACCCATCTCTCTGCATTACTATAGGATTACGGTGGAAACTTGGAACATATGGTGTCAATGTGGAAAAAGCTGCCGTTTCAAAGTTTTCAAAAAATTGTGAAAACTTGTGTAAAAAAGTTTTTATGGACGCTGAGTTTAATACTCAACTATTCACAAGACTACGAAGCTTTCTAAACAGTGTAACCGCAGTTTTTAAGAACATTGAAAAAATGGCCGCTATCTCTCCTGGCATAACTCTTCAATGAAGCATTATAATAAGTTGGGAACTTTACAGTTATAATCAGCAACTCTAATTAGCCTAGTGTAAAAGCTTTCAGGCTGTTTTGTTTCCTTTCCGAGGCAAAATATGGCCTTTCATTGCTTGAAACCCTCTTTGAAGTTTTTACCGTAATCCTACAGTAATGAAGAGAAATCAGTGGTTCGTTCTATAATGCAAATCTAAGTTGAAGCCAGCTCTACAGAATGGTACCTGAAGCAAGAGAAAAGACTTCTTTAGAAGGGAGATATTAACGATCAAACGTTCGATACATTTTTTGGGACACCTTGTATATGGTTCGAGAGCTTAAAGCTCCTAGATTTCACAAGTGTGATTTGAGCCTGATTCGTCTTCATTGCTTTGAGTAACAGTTGGTGAGCACAGCCATTAAAAGCAAAAAACGGAAAAAAACGAGAGTTTGTTTAGCTTCCAATTACACAGCTTGAAGGTCTTTTGAAGCGAGATTTCTGATGGGCAAACAAGGAGTACTGCTATATACTGAGTGCAATAGCATGTATGATCCATTCTTAGTCTAGGACACGCGAGACCGCATTGCACACATTGTCTAAACAAGCCTAATCGTGTACTTAGCAGGTTTATACTTGTCATTTATTTCGTCCACGTTTATTCACTCTTGGGAAGCAGGGAAGAACGAACTCAAATTTGTTGAGACAATGTCCGCAATGCAGTCGCGCGTTTCCTGGTCATAGATTAGATGATAGCTTCATCTTTGAAACAAAGTTAATCATGTTTGAAAGTGGCCACCTCACTCAGGTGGCCCAGTATCTGGAAATTTCAGAATTTGCCCAAACTTTGTCCACAGGGGTTATTTGACATACTAAGTATGAAAATGTTAGTCCCTATGCTTGGAAGGGCCTTCAATTATGCTAACTTAGGTATGCAGAGTTCAGGAGGGCCTTATTATGATCTATACATATAAAGCAGAAAATTTCTATGGCTGTGCACATTACCCATAGTCACGAGGGATGAGCGGTGAAGCTCATTTTGATCTGCTGGTCATCAAGACATGTTAAGGACGGTAGGAAGCGAACCCAGGACAAGTCGGAATTAAAAGAAGGATAAGTTTTGCTGTATGAGAGGTCATGCACGATAGACTGACTCCAAACCGGGGTGGAATCCAGGACGGAAGCCCTTAAAATTATAATTTGGGATAAATGCTGCCGCCGCAGTCGTGTAGCCATTACTGCGAGCAGTTATGAGCCCGCATGCACGTACATCTCCGCTGGGCAGGGGAAGGGATCTGAGAGGGTATGCTTTATATCTCGCTACTCTAGATAGATCTCTTTCTTCCTTCTATATCTTGTTTATGAAAGTTCTCATACCGTTATACCTGCGTATAATGGATGCCAGGTACTCCATACGAAATTGATTTTTTGCCATTTTGTGTGATCCCTTGGGGATCCCCAAGGGATCACCTCTCATTTTCAAAGTGATTTACTTTCTGAGAATCCAATGCTAACGCTGCAAAATTGTACTGAGGATATACTACGGTATTGCTAAGCATAATTTCGACAGGAGAAATGGAATCTAAAGATTGTAATTTTTCCATGATCCACAATTCGCGAGCAGTGGTCCGTCGAAGATTTCGATATCCTGAGAAATCGCTTATCTCTACTACTAGTTGGCTTTCCCGGTCCAGACCGGGCCATTGTTCTCCTGCACTGCGCCCCCCCCCCCCCCCCCCCCTCTGTGCAGAGTGTCCCAAAAGTAAGTACACACTTTTTAATCGTCAATATCTCTCTTCCCAATGGGTCTTTTTTTGCCAGTCAAGTACCATTCTGTAGAAGAGACTTCAACTTAAATTTACAGAATCGAGCAAATCACCGATCGCTTACCTTACCGTAGGATTACGGTAAGAACTTCCAGTATGAAATATGACATCTGACAAATTTTTTTTAAAAGTTTGAAAAATCGTGTACTAAGGTCTTCGCGCACGCTGATTCCACAGCACAACTTTTTATGAATTTTTTTCAGCTTTTTTGACGGTTCAATCATATTTCTGACAATTACTGGGAATTGCGTTATTGCGGTTTACCTGGGATAACCGTGGAAAGAAACATCACAGTAACGTGTAAATTTCATATTCGAAATCAGCGATTTCCATTACCATAGTATAAGAGCTTTTGGCTTGTTTGGTTTTGTTCCGAGGCAGAATAGGCTTCCAGTAGCCTAAAATTCCTGTCGAAGTTTTTACAGTAATCCTACAGTAATGAAGAGCGATCGATGATTTGCTCGATACTATAAATCTAAGTTGAAGCATTCTCTACAGAATGGTATTCAAATGGTGGAAAGAGACACAGTGGGAAGAGAAATATTAACGATTAAAAAGTGTGTACTTACTTTTGGGACACTTTGTATGTATATGTTATGGATAACCTACCCCGGGACGTCCGCATCGAAACCGCATCCTCGTGATCTTGAGGTGAAAATGAGCTTCACCGCCCTCCTTTACATGACTATGACAAAATGCTTGGTTAAACATGATAACCCTTCAAGTCCTTAGAAAAACGTAAACAAATCAATAAATAAATAGAAGGACCCAGTGATTAGCCGCAAAAAGTAGCCTAAAACAGTCTTCGTGGTTGAAAACAAGTGTGTGCAAAGTTTCAGCTGAATCGGTTGAGCGGCGCGCGTTTCTATAACGCACACAGACGCATTTTTTCGGCGCTCGGTCCGACTTTGACATCAATATTTTTATAATGTTCATTAGAGGGAAGCCCAAAGTTTTCAATAAGGCTTCTGAGTTTTATCGATACTAAACGTGTTTAATCTGCACATCAAGAAGAAAAATCTTTCCAACCATAAAATTTCATAATTTTTCTCCCTACGGCCATTTTTTGTGCAAATCAAGTATTTCTTCTAAATCATGGATGATCTGATTGAAAAGCCGGTTAACTTCTGAGCCACACCTGCATTCCAGTTTTGCGATTTGCGCTCAAATATTACAAGTTTCGATCTTGCCTCTGACTGCAACTCTTCTCGTAGCTGCATTGCTTCTGCGGAGATCGCCACGCCTGATGATGGGTTCAAAAGGCGCGTAAGGCATTACCCCAACAATGTTCGCAGTACTCAAAGATTTCGTCCACCCCATGCGGAACGATAAGACTTCAGAGTCACTTGCTCGAAAAATGGTGCATTTCTAGGGGTAAAAAATGGTCGATTTTTCAAACTTTTTAGAAAAACTTTTTTAGCATGTGGTCGCTCAAAGGCTTAAGTAGTGTCATAATAGCCCCAGTAGACTTCTGTATAACTACACCATTTGAGCTCTCCAGTTTTCATTGTGCCTGAGATAATCCCGCACAAATACTCCACTTTTCGCGACGAACTTTTTCCCTTCTGCGAATGCTGGTGGACCGCATTGAGGTGCTGAAAAGCCAGCGAGACAAACATAGGTTTTGGACAAAATTTCCTTGCAATGAAATTTGTAGCTTTGAAAAAGAGTCATTGAAGTTACAGTGACTTAAAAAGATTTTTCGCAAGTGCCCGGGAACTTTCTTTACGACCTAATATATCCTCAGTGCAATGTTGCAGCATTTTCATTGACTTCTCAGGAGGATAAATTTGAAAATGAGAGGTGATCCTTCAGGGCTCACACAAAATGGCAAAAAACCAATCTTGTATGGCAGTAATTTGGCACCCACTATGCGCAGGTATAGTCGTCCACCCCCCACTAGACATCTAGTGGACGAATTCGAATTTGAATTAGAGCACGCCGGTTGCGGCAGAGCGCGGCCCTGTCAAATCCGTTTTATGCTGATGCACCATGCACCATGCACCACCGCTCAAAGCAACACAATTTTCAGTCCCAATAAGAAGACTGTAAACATTCAAAAAATAGCATGAAATATTGGTATAACACAAAAAATCTATCTGAAATAGAACTAAGGGCTGAATGTGCCGCGCTCTGCAGCAATCGGCATGCTCTAGTTTGAGTTTGAATACGTCCACTAAGTGTCTAGTGGGAGAGGACGACTATACAAAGGTATGAGAACCTTCATAAGCAAGATAAAGAAAGAAGAAGAAAGATATCTAGAGTAGCGAGATATGACGCATCTCCTTTTGGATCCCCTCCACTTCATAGCGGGGATGTACGTGCATACGGGCCTTGGATGCAGGATGTCGTGTTTAAACTCGCTTTTGCACGTGTAAACTTTACAGCGGTCTCAAACGGGTGTATGGCGATTTGCACCACGGTAATGCTTCTCACAAAAAACCACCGCCCCGCGTGACACACCCTGTGCGACTCTGATTGAAGGCAGTATCTTATCA